GCAAGAAGGTGAACGTATGTTAGAGCGCTCAGACGTGAATACGTATCTTTATCGTAGTTTCCACACTCAAGTTCATCCTTTTCACTTGTTTGATCCGTCTAATTTACCTTTCGCCTATATTTTCTCATAAACGTATCAATCGATCAAAGTTTTGTTTTTGAATTCTGTTTGATGGGAGGGACATGAAGATTTGATTATTCTGAACACTGAAAAGGAACATTCTGAGATAAGATTATGAACATAAAAAAATGGCCAATATCAGTTATTCTTTCTTGGTTTATTCAACAGAAAACATTCACTTTCCGAGCGTTATGCCACGACGAATATTGAATCATATCTGTCGAGCACAAACGATAAGAATTTGAAAACAGAACCTCTTAAAGTTGTAAATTCCTATTTTCCTTCACATAATATCATTCTCAATTATCAACAGCAATTAACAACATTCCTGGATATTTGCCACGTCGAACATTGCAATAAACATCTAAAAGGGGAGCATGAGAAATAAAAATCTCCTGAAATTGTGAATTGACATTATCTCTCTAATCGGATGAATAATATGAGAAATCATGATGTGAAATATAACTCACCAATATTATGTTCAGTATTGAAATGAATAGTAGAAGTATGGGAATCACATCCGTAGAATAACCTATCAGCAATCCTGATTGGATGTTCTTGAGATGTCCCAGGAACGTACGAATTATCATCTAATATGAATTTATTTTGGGTCTCCCTAGGACCGAATTTTGTATAACTGATCAGGGCATCCAGTTGGGTTGATCGTCTGTAGAAGGTCCCCGATAGATCTTGATTAAGAAGGTTGTCAAGAGGTCCCATCAAAGAAATTTCTCAAGGATGTCCAATGGACTTTAGTAAAGGACACTGACGGAGAGGGGAGTATATATAGCCCGAAGCTCACGAGCAGTCGCTCGTTGGCGATTTGTGAGTTATCATCCTCGCAGGATCAACACATTGAACGTACCGACTGGGACGTCCGTAGGACGTTTTTCTATAACATCACAAGAGGAAATGACGATTTGCTTACGCGAAGGACATTTATATAGAATGTCTATCTGTAGTCCTGATGTCAATGTATATCACCGATGGATGCTGCTTAGGATACATTTCGAATTGTATCCAGGACAATCTGGACACTTTATTACTCATGACATCTTCTGAAATATTCTTGAAGGTATACTTATAACTAAGATAAGCATATTAATTATCTATATAAGAGGTCGAAGTCATAACAGTTCATTTATCAATTGGTACATTTTACAGATGTTCCTCAGGAAAATTCAGAATTTTATATCATCCTGGCAATATTGATGGCGTCCGTGCAGATATATTTGAAAATGTCCCAGACGATACATTCCATAGTTGTTTCAGAAGGGACATAATATATTAGATCTGAGGTCATGTCAGGATACGTACCGCTCTGGACATCCGATGGATGTTCTTGAAGGAATGTTCAGAATTATATCTCATCAGGGACATGCTAAGGATGTCCTTGCATGAACATTCCACAATATGTACTACGTGGGCAGTCTGCAGGATGCTATTTATCGGACATTTGGAATGATGTGCCAGCTTAGACATTTCATAGTAGTCCTTGCCCGTACATTGCATGAGACGTACGGAATGGGACGTCCTGGACAATTATTTTAGATCCGGGACATTTGGACTCGAATTGTACCGAATAGGGATGTCCCTTGGACGTATCGTACTATTAGAGATGATATGGTCTGCGTTTACTCACGAATTCATGATGTCAGTTTTTATTAGCAGTGAATTCATATCATTTTTGCTTTTGGATGTATGATAAATTGACATTCATCATACAGGGCGTGGAAATGAATTCTGAATTGAGACTCTATCACGAATCTACGATTAGAGGTCTATAAAAATCACAAGTTTCCATCGTTCAAGTTTGAACCCCCTGATTGGGTATGAAAGTGTTGAAAAGGAATATTCTCAGATAAATTATGAACATACAAAAATGGATATATATTTATATAAAGCAATAAATTGAGAATTCGCATTCTCTATGTGATGAGAATATTTACTCTTTTTCAGTTGATTCAATAGAAAACAACTACTTTCCTGGCTATATGCCACGACGAACATTGAATTATATCTATTGAACACACACGATAAGAGTTTGAAAATAAAATATAAAAATTTCTGAAATTGAGAATTTGCATTCTCCTTCAGACAAAAATATGTATATACACACATCATTCTGAATATTCAACAGAAAACAACTACTTTCCTGGCTATTTGCCACGTCGAACATTGAATTATATCTGATGAACATTCAAAAGGGGAACATGAAAAATAAAGAATAAAATCCTCCGAAATTGAGAATTGACATTCTTCTTCAAATCGGATGAATAATATGATGAATAATGATCTAGAAATATGACTTACCAATATATTCAGCATTGAAATGAAAATTGGAATGTATAGGAGAAGTATACTGGCATGAACTCTGATCTTGATGAGCTTGAAAACGTCCAAAAATAATCATTCATATCAGTGATATGGGAAATATTATCTCTCACACACAGGTTATATGGCTTTATTGCAATGAACCCATTTCGGATCTCTGAATCCTCATCAGTAACCATGATGTCCACTTATTCTTACAGCCATTCTTCATGATATACACAATTTTCATCTCTATATAATATTTCCCATATCACTGATATGAATGATTATTTTTGGACGTTTTCAAGCTCATCAAGATCAGAGTTCATGCCAGTATACTTCTCCTATACATTCCAATTTTCATTTCAATGCTGAATATATTGGTAAGTCATATTTCTAGATCATTATTCATCATATTATTCATCCGATTCGAAGAAGAATGTCAATTCTCAATTTCGGAGGATTTTATTCTTTATTTTTCATGTTCCCCTTTTGAATGTTCATCAGATATAATTCAATATTCGACGTGGCAAATAGCCAGGAAAGTAGTTGTTTTCTGTTGAATATTCAGAATGATGTGTGTATATACATATTTTTGTCTGAAGGAGAATGCAAATTCTCAATTTCAGAAATTTTTATATTTTATTTTCAAACTCTTATCGTGTGTGTTCAATAGATATAATTCAATGTTCGTCGTGGCATATAGCCAGGAAAGTAGTTGTTTTCTATTGAATCAACTGAAAAAGAGTAAATATTCTCATCACATAGAGAATGCGAATTCTCAATTTATTGCTTTATATAAATATATATCCATTTTTGTATGTTCATAATTTATCTGAGAATATTCCTTTTCAACGAATTCATATCAGTTCAGAAATAACCGTGGCGATATTGATTATTTCGATACCTTGAAATCGGATCGGAAAATTCTGAAAAATTGAATTCGAAGTTGATTGAGTAATGAGTATATTTGAGAATCAAAAAATAATTGTCCACTCGCCTATTATGCCCACACAAATGAAATGGACTATTTGAACAATGTTGTTCTTGAATCAAGAAATTTCGAGCTTGTTTTTACAAATAGATAATATCTCGAGAATATTCTCAGATATATGCATGAACACAATAAATGGATATGTATATATAAAGAAATATATTGAGGATTCGCATTCTCTGATGAAAATATCAATTCTTTCTCGGTTTATTCAACAGAAATATCTCATCATGATAAGCGAATATTTCTCAGAAAATTCTAATTTTCTTAATCCTTATTATGATAAGTGAATATCCTTTCAGAAAATCTGTATTTCCTTGTGTCAAGAGATTTTAATTTTGAAGAAAATCGAGATATAGCTTACTATTAGAATATAGAGTATTAAATATAATTGAGTCTCACAGTTGGTGTACAAAAGGGTATACCTATTATCAAAACTTGGTCTTCCTATTATAACATAACAAAAATGGAAACATGTATAATATAGATGAAATCATATACATATCATAGTAAAATTATCGAATACTATCTATGACTTGATCTAGGAGGTGGAATATTCATTTTTCTAGATTTTTGTGATCTGATGTCCTCGTCTACTTCTCAAGAATGTCGCACTGTGATTGAAATGGCTTGAATGATGAATCACAGAAACCTAGAGAGAAGAGTGAAATCATCAATTGAAAAATGTTTTGTGTGTTTTGCAGAGTGACTTGTTGAATGGTAATCATTAACCGTATACCTATAGAACTTGCTTCAGAAGAAACATTTTCATTCATCACAGCCAGGCATTGTCGAAAACAAACGAAATTTCAAGACAACCAGATAGTTTCTGGTTGCAAAAAATTCTGCATTCGACAGAAGTGCATGTATAAAACAAATAGAAATAATGGACAATTACCTATATCTATACTTATTAGTGCGTTCATCGAATAAATGCGACTGGGAAAATCGTCACTGCTGAACGAATGTGTGTTGTGCAGGTTATACAAACATGACCATAAGCGTTGACAGTGATGTGTAGTTATGGAAAAACAACTATATTACAAGAATATACAAAGTTCCTACCCCCGCAGATTGTCCTCAATTATGGAATGCCACATTGCTTTGAAGATGATACCAAACCACTATTACCCATGACTCAGCACACTTGATTCTTGAACACTTCACCATTGAAGAACAAAGGTGCTTTGCACCGTCTTCACAAGAAACAACAGCGGCTATATCGAATGCCTGCTAACGACTGAGGAGTCGAATGGGCGCAGGCGTACCGCTGTATATACGTCACTGAAAGTCTTTTAGACAAGCAGAGATTTTCTTGAACCAATATAAATTGGAATTAATGTCACTTGTAGTAGCGGTTTTCTTGAATAAGGAAATATACTGTTTATGTTGAGCAAATTCATATCAAGAAATTCCAAGAAACGAAGTAAGCAAGCCAATTGAATTGAGACAAGTGAATATTGCTCCATTCGAATGAAGCCTTTGTACGAAGCAATTCAATTCCAAGATAATGGATTCGATTGATTGAATGAATCCTTTTCATCTGTACACTTACGGATCATGAGGAACTCACCATATCTACTGTCCGGCAATAGCGGCGACTGGCTATCGGAGCTCCTGTACCGCGAACTGCCCACCAAATCTCTCTTCCTGGGCAGCGTGCAAAAGATCTCGTTGAAGTCCGACACGCTCCCGTTCTCGCTGGCTGCCCCGCGGTACCTGCCAGTAGGCGAGCTCTCGAGCAGGTCGGGAAACCGCTTGTCCGAGGGCTTCCCCGCCAGATCCTGGCAGTTCCTGGCGGGGCGGGCGGGCAGGGTCCGCCTGGCAGTGGGTTGGGGGGCGGTGGATGACGACGGCGAGAACTGGTTATATGTACCACACGTCGAACTGCAGGGATGCTTGATGTGGTCTCTAGGAGAAAAACTGAATCAGCAAAATCGGGAGTCGAATGGTTTTTTGCACACATCTTATGGGCTGAATTATAATTGCATATAGAACCAATGAAAAAATAATCTTTGGTAGGAGTTCATGGTTCCTCAAAGTGGAAGCAAGTATTAAATACTAAATGAAACATGGAGATGACTTTGTGTATCATTTAGTATTCAATGAAGAAATACTGTGGATGATAAAACAATATGGGTCTGATATAAAAGGTTATTATGTACCATATGTCGAAATGCAGGGATGATGCTTGATGTGGTCTCTAGGAAAAAAACTCAATCAGGAAAATCGGGAGTCGGATTTTTATGAAGTCATTCTTGCACACATCTTATGAGCTGGATTATGATTGCATATAGAGCCAATAGAGAAATACTGTGGATGATAAAACAAAATTGGTCTAATATAAAAGGTTATATGTACTACACGTGAAACTGTAGGAATGTTCGAGGTGGTCTCTAGAAAGAAAATTGTATCAGGAAAATCTATGGGCGAATATTTTTGAAGTCAATCTCGTATGCCCCAGGTAGTAATCAAATGGACTGATTCATGATTGCATATTAGACCAGTATGGATATTGTGGATGATGAGAATTATATTAGTCTGATATAGTGAATATGCTGAAAATTTATATCATGATAATAATAATATTGATGATAACGGTAGAATAGCGCAGCTTCCGCGATACATCTGAAATGATTATACCATGAAAAAGTATCGCTGATGGAAATAACGAGCATAAAATATAGTGGACTTGATGAAGCAGATGATGATACCAGACATGATTATGTCAGGCATACTGAGTTCCGCCTTTCGAGAAAAAATACACGCTGTAGCAAGATCTTCGTTGACAGCTTTGACCTGCCTTTGCCGTGATGTATCAGTTTTCTGGAAATAAATGAGAATTCTAGAAGAGAACGCAGTATGGAGAGTACTATTATCTGCAAAGCTGTAGGTATGTCGAGTTGATACTCCTAACAGATCATTGATTCGAACTAGGAATAATGTTGGTGTCAAGATTGCTCCTTCTGAATCGCCGAGATTGATAGCAATGGTATCACATGATACTTCACCGCGTGGAGCGATCTGCCTGCAAAAACACTCGATGAGAGATGGCATAGCTGAGGTGGTAAGCCCTTATGATTATAGTTTGTGAAAAAGTCCTTGGTGCCGCACTCGGTCGAATGATTCCGATATGGCTAATGCCACAGCTAGAGATTCCCTATGTTTTTCTAATGAAGCTTGCCATATTTGATTGCATTGCGTGACTAGCGTTGTACAAGAGATACACAACGAAAAACCAGAAGATAACTTAGAAGATCCATCACTATTTCAATCTCGTTCCTTATGCTAGGTATATACACTGTGAAAAATTTCTTTGGATTACTGCGCTTATGTGGTTCTGATTTAATTCACCGATGACATTTTTGAGTAAATTCTCAACTTGATTCTCAACTAGCAATTTTATCAATTTTTACCAATAATGGAAATGTTCATAGCAAATTTGATTGAATCGACTCATGGATTAGCAGTTTACACAATGAAGTGACATTAATGAGTGGACCTTTAGTGAAAATTCTCCAAATTTGTTTTTAATTGAACCTATTTCAACGTATTCCGGTGGGTCAAACATGTCTATAAATAGCCATTATATCTCTACCATGGAAGAGCAGATGAAGCGAATCATTATTGTCATACTTCGAAATCCTTCAATGAAGCAGATGATTTTATTCCTTCACGGGTTTGACCAATTCGTGAAGAACATTGGAATATTTTTGCTTCATGATCTACATCTATTCTATCTGCATAATTCATCAGGTTGAAAACCGGTAATATTTGGAGATTGATTTCCAGTATATGAAAATAAAAAATCCAATCCTACTAGTCCTACTACATAATTATTATAATCACCTCGTATATGTAAACAGCGTTGAAATCGGAAATTGTAACATTATTGGCAATTCATTCAATTCAAGGTTCAGCTCTCCTTCGATATTATGTGTGGTAAGTAGTTTCATGTTTCATGCAGGTAAATTCTAGACAGAAGTTCCACAACCTTTAGCAAACTGATGTTATCATCATTAGTTAGTCGGAACATACATGTATAGGCCAAGCGATTCGAGGAATATAGATTTGATACGAGAATCTATATTTGCAATTTGTAGTTCAGAATGTTTGATATATCGGCGAAATATTCAAGGGTGTACTTCTAACTTTCAGTTCGAAGACGAAAAGACAAAGAAATCATAAGGAAAACTGATTCAAAATGGAATAAGAAATGAAGAGAGCATCTCTAAACAAGTATCGATTCGAAGAAAAGATGTTGAGTATGTACTGTGAGAGCTACAGTCAGTATGACGAATTTGGATTCCAGAATAAGGCTTACATCGGTTGGTTAGATTTTATTTCAGAGTTCATTCTCAAGATCCCAAAACTGATTGATTTCCAAAATATCTCACTTTCAGAAAAAATAATACTTGGACATTAATTGACGAATATAAAAACTTAATTCTTGTTCACTCGCGTCTGTGTCCTTGCCCCTTGATGAATTCAATATTTGTGTGTATACATATGCAACCAACAATAATCATACAAATATTTTGTGTTGCCTAGATTTGAATACTCCCAACAGACACCCACTGAACTATATGCATTCCACAACCAATGCTTAAAGTAAATAATTTAGGCACAAAAGTCTCAGTCATGAGCTTGGATCATTCCATGCAGCAATGAACATTTATTATTACATAACGGGTTCACAGTAACTTCAGTTTGTTCAAATGGAGTTTAGAAATATACAGGCATTATAGCTTTATATCACCTCTTGAGCAAAAACGCAATACTGGTAGTAATATCATGATTTCAGTGCAAAGCTATGTTATAATAAAAATATTCAATAGCCAATCTCAATAATCTTCAGTTTTGCTGAGATCAGTGGATTTAAGCAAAGCGGTATTCCTCAGAGTCACAGATTAACAAACCTTTCAGAGTATATTCAGGCGTTTTCAAAAAAAAAAATCTGAACCAAACATTGCCTTTTTGTACCAGAGTCCGAGTGTATTGTGATACAAGTATAATTTCACGAAATCGATTAACATTCTATCCACCACCATATTCCACAAATTACTATTGTAACTCTCCCCTCATCAGATGCATGAACTCTTGACTTGTAACATAATCTGTGACTATGATATTGACATCTACAGCAACAATTTCACAATGTTCAAGAAACAACTCAAGTACAAATTAACTATATTATATGGTATTATATGGTAAGGCAGCAATGTACTCACCACATTCAGGTATATATATATTTTTTTCTCTTCTTCTCTTTAATCCTCGATAGGAGTGGTAGTTCATTTAATAATATTTATATATTATTATATATTTTAACATTTTGTATAAACTTTAGCGACTTGCATAGCTCACATTGTAAATCATGATTGCATTTTGTGTCACCCTGTAATTGGACAAGTTTTTTGTTTGTCTGTTGGGTGTCCTCAATGAATAAATAAATGGATAAATGAATAAATGAATGAATAAGATAGTGTTGAACTTCATACGACGAAATTTCGAGAAGGATTCATTAAAATCAACTTCATATTGCAAAATGTCTTCAACTATTCTACCGCACCAAATGATATGTTGTTTCATAACTGAATACCTACGGTTTGTTTCAACTTTATGTTCAAGTTTACTTCGAACGATACAAGTATTGCATCCCACCTGCCCAATTAAAATACATTGATTTTATTCCATTCATGAGTGAGGAATTGAAGTGTCGAAGTTTCCATTTTACAGTTTCATGAAAGAATAATGACGCAATTGTTCCATTTCGCAAGCACTTTAATGTTGTCTCGAATGAGTCGAATGTTGTGGACTAATAGACAATTTGAGATGATATCGTGTTCTGCTGACAAGTAGTGTTCTAGGAATTTAATATTGGCCATTCACAAATCTCACAATTATTGTTTTCCACGAATAATTCATTCTCGACGGTAAAATTATATTAAGAAATAATATTTCGTTGTGATCTAGAATCTACTATTGGGTTCATAGACCAGTACTGAAGCCTTTGAAATCGATCAAAAGTGAAAAAACAATAGATAGATATTGAATTGAATTATCTAAACGTAGAAAAAATATCACAAGATTTCTTCGTGTTGAAAACTCTTCGTTACATAGCCGAGCTTTCGGAAATGTTTATTTCCTTTATCAAGACATCATTGAAAAATGGTATAATTAAAACACTTGTAGAAAAAACAGTTGACGAAATACTTACTAACATGAGATTGGTAAGATACATAACAGCTACACAGTATAGAATCGCTTCGAGTTAAATTCGCAGAGTATGTTTTTAGAGTTAAAATACTCTGATGGAAAACTCACTCTGATACTGCAATCAACTCTATAACTACACTTCTCGCAGATTATCTCTATTGAAGATAATTCTAGATTGAATTTTCACTAATGTCGTATTGAATTCACTCTATATATTCCTAGAATTGCAATAAAATAGCAATTCAGATAACTCAATCCACTAACAATTGAAATCGAATTCATACTAGTATTAACTAATCGAATTCATACTAGTATTAACTGACACTAGTGAAGTTGAATGTTCCACTCGTGTCGAATAAATTGACACTCTATCATTGTTCAATTCAATCTATATACGATGAAATATCAATCTATACAGTTTCAGATCGTTCAGTCTACTGGCTAGTGGAATGAGTAATACAGATTATAGTGTCGATGATATAATAAGATAAGATATTTATTTCCAGAAAAAAAACAAGTTTTGTAGGAAAGTGCACAGTAGTTGTCCTAAAAAGATAGTTGTGCTAGAATGATCATTATATCTGAACATTTTACAAAAAAATATATAAGAATACAAAAAAAAACACAAGTTCTTAGTGTACCTGAAACAATACAAATCCATTTCGTAGCAATTGAAATTGGTTGGTGTATACCATTACACAGATATGCTAAGATTATATAACTTAACGCTCATACTACACATTTACATAAAAATAAATAAAAAGTTGAGAGTACCTATATCTGAAACAATGGAACTATACAAGTGCTTTTCATAACGCTTTCGGTATACACATATCACATATTATTATCATTGAGAAAATCAAGTACTGAGTAGTATGCTTTATCTATTAAAAGATTTTTCACTGAACTTTTGAATTTATTGAATGGCATAAACTTATAATCGGTAGGCAGTTTATTGAATAGTTTCGCACTACTGTAATAAACGCTGTTCTCAAATAACGATGTGTTATGATGAGGAAGTAAGATCATTTTGTAGCACTGTCGAGTGGAGGAAGAACTAAAATTGAACAGATTTCGATTTTTGTGACAAAAACATAAAGCTTCAAGAATGTAGAGAGAAGGTAATGTTAAAATTCTCATTTGAATGAAATATTGACGACATGAAGTACTTCGAGAAAGTCCTAATATAATTCTAATTGCCCTTTTCTGTAGCACAAACACTGATTTCCACATCATTGATTTAGCCCAGAAAAGAATTCCATAGGACATATGAGAGTAAAAATTCGCAAAATAAACCATTTTTAGGGTTTCGATGAATAGACCATTCGCTTTCAAGGTTCTCAAAGCAAAACAACTGCTGCTCAATTTCTTATTGAGGTGTTGAATATGATGTTTCCAGTTCAATTGTGAATCCAATAAGAAACCAAGACATTTACTTTCATCTACAAAGGCTACATTGAAGGCAACATCAACTACATCTAATAAAGGCCTCTGGCAGAAATTTACACAGTGCGTTTTGGAAAAGTTTACACTAATGTTGTTTATTTCACACCAATCATTTATTGTTATCAATGTCGAGTTCAGATTCAGGGTAGATTCTTGTGGGTTTGAACCATTGATTAGGAATAATGTATCATCGGCAAACATCGTTGTGGAGGCCTGAGGAATATTGCTTGGCAGATCGTTGATATACAGAATGAATAAAAGTGGGCCTAAGATGGATCCTTGTGGTACACCTGTGTTTATATCACCCCAATCCGAATAAACTTTCTTATTGTCTCTAGAGATGACCACCCTTTGTTGTCTATGGAGAAGATAATTAGTGAACCATTTGAGAGGCGTGCCTCTTATGCCATAATGCCCAAGTTTGAGGAGCAGTATTTCAAAACTCACACTATCGAAAGCCTTCTTAAAGTCACAGGCTAACCCGATTTGGTTGATCCTCGTGTCTAATTTATTATAAATTGCTTGAGTAATATCGTACATTGCTGAAGAAGTTGATTTTTTGTTCAGAAATCCATGTTGATTGGGAGTTATGATTTTATAGGCGTCTAAGAATGATAGGAGTCTTTTATGTACTAGTTTTTCTAAAAGTTTTGCTACAGTAGGCAACAGCGAAATGGGCCTGTAGTTGTTGAAATCTTTCTTATCGCCTTTTTTGTACAGAGGAATCACATTTGACTTTTTTAAACAAGGTGGAAAGACTCCTTGAACAAAAGATTCATTGAAAAGTTTCACTATATGAGGTAAAATAATGTGAATACTGTTTTTTAGTAGTTTAGAAGAAATATTATCATAGCCACAAGAGTTTTTGGGTTTCATGTTATTGAGAGTTTCGAGAATTTCTGTTTCATCAGTGGGATACATGAAAAAAGATATAGAATTGGGTGCACAGTAACTATTTAGAAATTTATTAATTTGAGTTTCATTAATAATTGAATTAGAGGGAACGACGTTGAGAAAAAAATCGTTTAGTTCAGTGCATGATTCACTAGAATGATCACATGAAATAGATGTATCATTGTGGGTGGAACTTGAGCCCAATTCCGAATTAACGAGCTGCCAAATTCGTTTGATTTTGTTGTCACTTGACCTAATCTCTCTGTCGAAATAAGAAGTTTTAGCTGCTAGTATAAGCATTTTCAGAATTTGACAATATGTTTTGATATGTTTTTCCAGAACTGCATTGTGATAATTTCTAGTCAAGGTTATGAGTTGCCTTTTGTGCTTACATGAGTTTCGGAGACCTCTTGTCATCCAACATTTTCTCTGATTCGTTTTGACTTTTTTCAACGGGAACGATTCCTCAAAACAGTCCACCTGAATATTCTGAAACATTTCGAACTTCTCCTCCAAGTACTGAAAAGGAATTGCACAGTACCTTCTTTCGGTTAACATCACCTTCAAATTATTCTTAAATACATTGATGTTTTTGTCTGAATAAAAGCGTTTCATGGTAAATTCAGTTCTTCTGTTATCGTGACCAATTTTGAATTGTATATATTGTGAAAAGTGATCAGCAAAGCCATTGTCCACATTTTTTGTCTCATATTCCTCAAAATTAACAAATATATTATCTAAGCAAGTTGCTGTTGTTATACAAACTCTAGTATAATCAAAAATTGTTTGATGCATGTTGAATGAGCGCAAAACATTCAGCAGATCATTTTTATTATCAGAATCCGACATAAAGTTCACATTAAGTCTAGTGGGACGCGAGTCATTTTTCAAATATCAAACGATTAGAATATCATGAAGTCACACTACTTCTCATCCGTCAATTCGCGCCACTGCATGCAGGTGGCACTGCAGAGACTATGCCGAGATTTCGCCGCTGAACGTCTGTCGGAGTCCTAGTTTACTCAACTAGTGTTTTATTTCAATCTAAAATGATGAATAAATGTTAACTCCTTATAAGCACCTGATGATATGGTAGTGTCAATTTGAAGAATGCACGTAGTGTAATTGATACAATCAATTTCCGGTGGATCCGACACTGTTCATAGTGTGAAATCTACTCTGTACTATTATATTCCCAACTCTCAACCTTTGTGACTATGTAATATTCGGTGTTTGAATTTCACTCTGAAGTGATGATATTGACACTATAGCTTGGGTCTTGAGTGGAATGTTCACTTTCGAAATTGTTTCTTTCAATTCTATTTGTGTCTTTATTCAATATATTTCGAGAAATAAATAGAGTAAGTTTCAATGTGCTTGCATTGAAAATTTACACCAATTGGATTGAGAAAAATCACACCATAATAATAATTTACTTAACTATAGAGTTAAATAATTTACTCTAGAGCTCAGTGGTCCTCCTGGGAACAGGTATAGTGTTAAATTTCACTCTATTTTTGTTTTAGTGTGTACATCATTAGATTCTTTTAAACTATGCTGGTGAGGCATTCATTATTTTGACAAAGCAGAATCACTGTCTATTTTGGCAAAAAAACACCGGTAACTCTGAATTCACAGCAATAACTGGAGATCATAATGGAAGGTTGACGGTTGAGTTTGTTTTATTCAAATGCTTCTAATATCCGATTCGGATCTACGGTCATTGTCGTATACAGAAGACAAAGCGGCGGGTAACAAAAAGTTAATTGGGTAGTGAACAGTAAAAATTGAAATTTCAAATTTGAGAAAATGTGAGAGGATTATGTGGAATAGAATTATTTTGTTCAATTTTTAATAAGTAATTGTAAATAGAACTGAGATACTGAATGCCAAATAAGTTGTAGTCATGAAAAGATTTCTCAATTTCAGATTCACACAAATAGCTCATCAACATTCTTGAAAAAGCATATATTTTGACGCGAGAATTTCCGTGTTTTCAAGTCAAGATATGAAGAAGAAATAAATTCCAAAACAACAAAATTACAGTGTATTTGAGACGAAAGGTAAGTTTCCACCAGATTTCGTAGAAAAAATTTCGATTTTTTTAAGTGATAAAAATGAAAAACCAATAACTTGTTCATTTGAATTTTTCACATGAATTTTGAGGTTATTTGAGAAAAAAGTATACACTGGGGATATAGATTTTCTCAACGCCAATAACTTTGCTCCTCAACTTTTCACCATAGGACTTGTAGTTTTTAGAGAAATCGAGATTAACTGTTTTCCACTCTTCCATTTCCCGACCTCAGCTCGACCGTGATTCACTATTTCTCTCATTTCTGTTATATCTTTTTTCATTTTCGATAATCTTCATTCTACTATGATATTTTTCGGTTTCGAAAATGATTGACCTTGGTCTATACATCAATCAACAGCTATACGTTGTTGATTATTATCTGATGTTGATTGAAATGAGAGCTGTGTTCATCATTTTCTGCAATATCATAAATGAATGGAGTTTGAGACCGTTATTCACTTTTTATGGAGCTATATTGGTAATTAACTGACTATGAAACTGATAAATTTCGTATCCAAGTAAGCGCTCTAGTGGTAATTAAAGACTCTAAATGATAATGTTCCAATAATTCAACTATCTACTGTTTCGCGAAAGTTAGAGAAATTATTAGTTCACTTCAACAGGATTCGTGAAACAATAATAGTTCTCATTGAATATACTATTCCTGGAAATAAATAATTGAAATGTAAGAGAACTCAAACACTTGATCGCGATTCTAATGGTGTAATCATTTACTCATCAAGGCCATGTTCCATACTCCGGTTCATTTTCAGCCTGAGAAACAGAAAGTAGGTTGCACAATAAAAATGTAATCAACCATTTTGCTAGAATTCAATGCTCAATCTCTCTCAAATGAATATCTGAACAATTCATCTTTTTTTTCGAATATCACATACTCTACTTTGACCGAACCCGATCCTATAACTTAAAGATTTAGCATGTGTTGACGACTAGAGATGACAGCGTCCTACGCAGTGTATGATATGGCCACGAAGCTCTTCCTCAAAACTTACACCACTAGATGCATTGTGATAGCATGACTAGATCATCGTGCAGTATTTGGCGACAACTCCACTATGAGCTACTATCTTGGCTTCCACCAGAGAATATAATCACAATCTGATCAACTCTGGTACAATGGAATTCGAAACCGTGTCAGAAATAGATAAAGATAGAAGTAAGATAGAGGTTCAATGAACAGAGGTGAATTTGAACGTGACACATCTGGGATCGGAACATAGCATAGCATACCTTATCTCTTGTTTGGTCCTCCGCGGTATATGCAGATCCTCAGGATCCAACGTATGCTCCGGTGACACCCAACCTTTGTCCTCCGCATTCTCCTGCCTCTTACTGGAAGACGAACCACCCACATTACTTTCTTCCTCCTCTTCGACCTCCTGATCTGTATCACCTCCTGGCACCACCCTGTAATCCCCGTTTCTCCTCTCTATCACTGCAGGGTCTTGTTGCTCGGTACTAGCCCCACCATTCTCTTTAACCGCCTTGTGGTTCATCTCGATCTTCTCGTAGTTGTCTTCGCGTGTACACTCGCGCCTATGCCACTTTAACACCCTTTTCTTCCGCACAGAACATACACACAGGAATATGAAGCACGACACGGCCACTAAAGATATTCCAGTCACCACGCTGGCCAGAAGAACCTTGCTACTGAAACTACCGTCCGGCGGTTTTTTAGACACCGCTAGAGTCACGCTGGCCTCGGCACGACCGGCTTTGTTCTCTGCCGCACACACGTAAGTACCGGCGTCTTGAAGATCCGTACTGAAGATGGTCAAGTCACTCGAGCTGTTGCTCAAACGAACGATATACAGCTTTTTGCTGGTTGTGTATGTGGTTCCGGTGAGGTTGGCTATAACTTTGTTTCTCAGCATCCATCTCACGTTGGGTTCTGGAATTCCTGCGATCCTGCAAGTCATGGTAACGTTTTTACCCTCAATACCTTGAGTCTGACTCTCGTACGCGAAAATTTCTGGTACACAAGCAAACTCGTCCAAGTCTAGTTTATCCCAAGACTTCGTGTACAGTCTCTTAGGATATTGGCATACTGGTGGTATATCATAGGGGACATTATTTCTGATCATCCATTCTTTCAGGGGCCTCAGAGTACAAGAACAGTTCCAGGGATTACCGGCGAGTTCGATGCCATGCAGCCCTTGAAGACTGGTGAAAGACTTAGCTGTCACATCAGCAAGCTTATTGTTGTCCAGCTTCAGCCATTCCAGTGAGGTTCCCAATCCTGTGAATGCCTTTGGTTCTATCAAAGATATTTTACAATCCGACATTTCTAATCTTATAAGTTGTGGTACATAAAGGAAAGCATCGTCGAACACTTTTTGTATGGGATTTCCATTGAGTTTGATCTCTCTTAGTTCTGGAATGGAATCGAACGTGTGTGAAGGAACGTTTGTTAGGAGATTAAAGCTCAAATCCAGCTCCACCAAGTTAATGATATACTTGAATGCGTATCTCTCCAGAGTTTTCAAGTGACATTTGGCGAGATATACTTTCTGGAGATTCACCAAGCCTGCTTTGCTGAACTCTTCGTGTTTAACGGTAACCAAACTGCTACCGGTGAGGTCGAGTACTTGAGTGAGAGAATCTAGGTTGACGGGAATCGCTGATAGGTTCGAGTTCAGGCATATCACAGATTCTTTTCCGCTTTTCCATTTGCATTCGCACAACCTTGGGCATACAGCTTGAGATATTTGGGCGCAGTATAGGAGGACTATGGTTGCGTAGAGTTTGAGAGTTGACATTGTGGTGTGAATGTTGCGGAGCTTATCTGATTTTTTTGTCTTCATTTTCTTCCTCTTCTGTCTCCATCGTATCAGTGCTGGAGTTAGCCGAATCGATGCCGGATCTGAAATAAATGTTGAGCTTTAGAAGTTTGAATGCAATAAGTGATTATTATGCAGGCAAATTGAATATTGAATGAACGACAAGTCTTGGGATCATGAAACATAGTTAAATCAGCCCTCTTTTCGTTCATTGTTAACTATTTCTTAATATTGATTCATGAAATAAACGAAAATGGTAGATAAAGAGGAACGAAAATCTAATTTTCTGGAAATATGTCACGCAGAATATTGAATCACATCCACACGAAATCTATGCAACGATTTGTATAGATGAAACAGTTGCACTTGTTTCTTTCCTGTATGCTGAGCCGTGCTCAAATTGTTCGGGACCGCTCGACTACCTATATACTAGTTTCGAACTTTGGCTCTCATCAGTGCAGGGGTATCCCTATATGGCATTTATGACCACGTTTCGTCTATACGAATCGTTGCATAGATTATGGGAGAATGTTATTCAATGGTCTGCGTTTTTTTCTCGTTATCTACCATTTCCGTTCATCTTATGAACCATTGTGGAAATGACTTGTTTTTCATAGTTGAAGAAAGGTCAGTCAATTCGCCACTCCCATTTCTATCTCGAATACGAATTTCAGTCTTGGAATGTTACTTTCCTCTGCCCTAGACGGCGTTGTGTCCATTTCGCAGTGGTCGAACGCCTCGTGGCAATCGAATGCTGAAAAGTGTTCACGTTTGGTCAGGTTCTCACCAGATGGTGGTCATGAATGCCATCTGGAGACACCCCTGCACTGATGAGAGCCAAAGTTCGAGACGGGTCTGTAGGTAGTCAAACGTTCCTGACAATATATGTATGCAGAACTCAGCATTCAGGAAAGAAACACTTGCAACTGTATTCGTCTATAAGAATCGTTGAATAGATTCTGGGAACATGTAATATTCTGTTCTGCGATGCATATAGCCAGGGAAGTTGTTTTTTCTTCGTCTTCCTCTGCCATTTTCGTTCAATGTAGTAATGACTTTGAGCTTCTCCCCTCTTTGTCTTCATTCCACATTCAGCATTTTGATTCTTTCCTAGTTAGATGACTTCAGTTGAATAGAATATAAGAAATACTTGAGTCATTAGTAGCTCAATCTCTCAGTTTCTCACTAATTCATTCAGCCCATGAAATTGATAGAAACATACTTTCGTACTAGGAACTTATCAACTTATATATATTATAGAAAAAAATACGACATAATCTGGAATTGAATGTGATTGTATTTTAAGTCTTCCCATGAGGGTAAAAAAAAAAACAGTGTAATTTCATGCTCCTTTCTCCAAGGAAAGGAGGATAATTTCCGGAAATGTGTTAAGTTGCTATGGTATCGATACAAAATACAGGCTCCTAATTGGTCGAAAATAACATAAGCGTGGAATGTTCAATAAAATAATTGAATTTCATGTCATTTCTCGATTTATACTTCACTGATTCATGATCACCCTGTATATCTCATCCTGTAATCCGATCAATCCTCACAGACGTAATCTTCTTGTTGATCCTATAAACGCCAACAAAACATTGACCCTTACAAAAAGAGAAATACTATTTAAGAGCTTAGTTGCGAGGATTCGTGAAGCCTCTCGAATGTGTTTAGTTTTCTAAATAGAAACCGACCAGATTATAGTTCGCATCCAAACTTCTCTATATCTACTGGAAACTCGATACGATTACGAAATACTCTTAAGGTTTCTGTGAAAAACACCCAAGACTATACATGAAAACCGTTAGAAACTTCACCGGGGTAAACATGATATCTTCGTGAAAAAGAATCGGTCAATACTTTCATCTTCTGGAAATAGATATGGTAGATTTATCAGGATTGCTCTAGCTATTTGATTCCATTCGTGAAAGAGTTGGTGATTTCACATATAGATGTACGCACTAAGTGGACTATTTTTTTCCTCAATTAGGATCATATGACTCAACTTCCATTCAATTCCATATATCTTCTGATTCTTTTTGGCGATTTCAATATTCAAAATTCATCGATAATACTATATAGTAAGTTACAAACGGTTAGATTTTTTGACCGCAACTAGCACCGGACATCACGCTTTCGTAAGTATCGAAATCTGTGAATATTCCTGCGAAACTGATGTAATGTTTCTCTCAGAGAAAAATATCATTGATGACTCCACTGTAATAAATGAGATTCATGAAATTGCCAATTTTCTATAAATCCAGTAAAATGTGCACTGAAGGACAAAATTTGCTATTCCTGAATCTTCATATGTCTAGATGATATCTACCAAGTTCTCTAATGATTTCATCATTCCGGAGTAACATTCAATATTGGTCAATAGATCTTGCTTTACAAAAGGTATCTCACTGCTCCTTTCTGTAGAACAAATACCGAGAACAGTTGCTGTTGACTACAAAAGAAGACTGAACTTCAATATCTGATAACAAGGAAAAAATGAGTTTTTCCAGCAATATCAGAACCAAGCTTATTTAACAAAATTTTTACAGCATAGCAACCTGACGCTAGCTTTTTTCTCAGTGACAAGACATGATCATCAGACCCCAATTTGTTGTCAGTGTGCAAACTCAAGATTTCAGTACTCGATTTGAAAGTTATAATATTCGTTTTGTTAGTGTTGAAACAGAGGTAGTTGGCATTGCACTAATGAGATTTGACCTAGTTTAAGTCGTGTGAAATTACGTCTTTGAATGTAGCAATATTTTTCCCATGCCCCAAACTGGTGGTGTCGTCCACAAATAGTATGAATTTCTCTGTTATGTTCAAGTAAGCCAGATCATTTAGATATAATAAAATTGAAATCGGGCCAAGCAGTGATCCCTGAGGTACCTCTGATTTTATATTTAAACGACTTGAGCATTCATTTGAAATTTTGACAATTTGTTTTCTGCCAAGTATATACAGAGAAGTGCACAAAAAACAGCAAGGACTCTAACTTTCAAATTATTTGAGAAAGGAGTTTCCAAATTTGGTGGGCAGCTAGTATACCAAGTTGCTTATCAATTGACGGAATTATTTTTGATCTATATCACTTCTGGTTTCATTGGAAACGACCTCAACTTTTGATTTCCAAATGGGATACTCTGTTTCTCCATAATCGGTAAGGGATTGCCATCACAAATTCATCGACCGATACCGGGTTTGATAGGGTTATTTCAAACGATTCCGCAGATATTCGCGTTCTAAGTTTTTATATGCTCAATGAGTGTGACAGAGAAAGATGTTTTGATATTGCGTCATACCCATTTATTATATGAACTTCGAACGAGAATATCTTTGTAATCGTCTGAAATAACCCTATCACATCCGGTATCGTTGAATTCGTCATGATACAGGGTCCCATTTGAAAATCACAACTTGGGGTCGTTTCCGGTGAAACTGGAAGTGATAAAAGATAAATCGTTTTATCAATTGATGAGTAATTTGGTATAGTTGCTACCAACCAATTTTCAATACCCTGTCTCGAATAATTGAAGAGTCACAGTCCTGGCCGTTTTTTGTGCCTTCTCTGTATGATTCAGACCACTTCAATGTAACCCCTTCGAATCCATAACGGTACAGCTTTCTCATCAGTATTCTGTGATCCACACAATCTAAACCCTTCGAAAAATCACATAACACTGCTGCAGCTACCTCAGTTTCGTTCAAAGACAGATAAAACCCTTCAAGAACTAACAACTTTCGAATTTTGAAAGTCAAACTGAAACTCTCCAATTATTTCGAAGCCTGAAGTCGACACCAGAAAACAATAGTTTCTGAAAGATCCGTATATGTGGATAAAACCAATAAGTGAGCCCTAATTCCCTTAATAGATCGGAATCCCCGGATTCAATTCTAGCCCATGAATCTTTGGCGGCTATATCTCCGCCTATATCGTGTCCCGATTTCCTACAGGACATTACGGAAAATTCGATGCAGATTTCTGCCTTACTGCAGTTATTTATGCCTTCTGGGCTGATTTGTTTATTTCTGGGGAGAAACGGGAGAATGGAGATTAATTTCTCGGGCTAATTGCGCGAGACGCCATTCTCTGCTAATAAATATAGAGGAGGAAGCGCTGTCTTGTTCTGGGGCCAATTATATTGGCAAGTGACAATGTCTCCGTTTGAACGCCATCAGGACAAATTAATTCCTTAATGAGGCTTCGATGAACGCACGACAGCACTAACTTTTTCGTGATGCGGGATAGTCTGAAAGGAAATTGACGGCATATATAGGATTCCCAATACGTTTCAAAGTGAGATACACAAGTAACATTTCTAATGTCTTAACGCACTAACGAGAATCTTAATAGGTTATGTGAGAGCATATTGTCCAAGTTTGTACTGCTTGATGAACTTCCTGAGATAGGCTGATTGACCTTCAGTTACATAATAGTCTCATCAAAAGATCTAGGAATACTTTTACAAAGTCCTTGCATGAAACTATCTGGTATTTTATTTCATCAATTTTTTATTTTAAATGGAGAGGTAAACTCAACAAGTAAGCGAAGCTGCCCAATGAAAGTGTTGCACAAAGTAACAGAAAAAAATCTCGAATTGAACTGTTCAAGATTCAACATTAGCCTATAATTCCTAATTTGAACCAATCGATAGGTGAAAGAGTTGAATGCCATGATTAATATAGATATAAAATATAATGAAAACTCTCCAAATCGTTTCCACAACGTTTTAATTTCAAATAAAAGAAGGGGGGTACATGTTTCGGACCCAAGAAGTATGAATAATCAGCCAGAAAAGACCTACTTTACAAAAAACAACGAAACAATAAGAAGGCACATCAAGCAGAACAAATTGGTACTCACGTGGAGAAAAAGAAGGCGATGAACTCTGTCAATTATTACATACAGTGTGTTATTTTATCATTTCGAATAAATGTAAATTTTTCCTGAAGCCGAACCTGGATTTCCACTCCGCCCGATAGGTGAATGAATTCAACGTCCCAAGTATAAGCTCCATATAAAA